ACTGTGTCGGGGATACCCTGCCAGCGCTGGGACGCCCAGACACCCCACAAGCACCACTTCGTGCCCGAGAAGTACCCGTGCAAGTAGGGCTGGGGGCTTTGCCCTGGGAAGGGATGTGGTCCAGGGCTGGGCATGGAGGGGTAGGGGCATGGGGCAGGCGGTGTGGGCGCCCCACTCAGCACCCGTGTCCCCCCCTCCACCACCAGGGACCTGCAGGAGAACTACTGCCGCAACCCCGATGGCTCCGAGGCCCCGTGGTGCTTCACCACCCGGCCCACGTTGCGTGTGGCCTTCTGCTTCCAGATCCGACGCTGTGCCGAGGAGCTGGGTGCCCAAGGTGAGAGGGCCTCCGGGGGCGACCAGCAACTGGGGGTGCTTGGGGTGCCTGCAGGTACCAGCTGTCCCTGCCTGCCCACAGACTGCTACCACGGCCACGGAGAGCTGTACCATGGCCACGTCAGCAAGACACGCAAGGGCATCACGTGCCAGCAGTGGTCGGCGCAGAAGCCTCACGTGCCCTTGTGAGCGTGCAGCCGAGTGTGCGCGTGGGGGCCACCAAGGGCATGGGGGAGCTGCTGCACGGGGACGGTGATGCCGGCTCCCATCTCGCCAGAATCTCGTCCATCAGCCATCCCGATGCACACCTGGAGGAGAATTACTGCCGCAACCCCGATAACGACAGCCACGGCCCCTGGTGCTACACCATGGACCCCCGCACGCCCTTTGACTACTGTGCCATCAAGCCCTGCTGTGAGCCCCTGCCTGCTGTGCCCCCTCGCGGTGTCCCTGCCCCATGGCCCGAGTACAAGCCGCTGTCCCAACCCAGGGTGCATCACCCTGGCACATAGCAGCTGACCTTGGCAAAGGTGGAGGGGAGCCCCTGTGCCCCCACCCATACCTTGCCAGGGCATCATTTCTGCACCCTGGTGCTGGCACTGCCCAAGGCCAGCTGCATCCTGCCACTGCCCTGTCAGCTGTGGCCATCGCAGGAGCAGGTGGGTGCCCCGTGTGGGCCACCCTGCCCCTCACCTGCCCTATGGCCCCCACCCTATGCTTTCTTTCTGCAGCTGGGGACAAGGTACCGTCTGTCCTGGAGAACGCAGGTATGGGCATGTGGGTGCTGGGTGCTGCACAGTGGGCCAGGCACCGCGGCCCTGGCTCACGCCCACCATGCCCGCAGATGCCGTGGCATTCGAACAGTGCGGCAGGCGGGATGAGAGGCTGCAGCGAAAAGGGCGCATTGTCGGGGGGCAGCCTGGCAACTCGCCCTGGACCGTCAGCATCCGAAACAGGTGAGTGGGCTGCAGTGCTCTCCACCAGCGCCCGCAGCGCAGCTCGGAGCAAGCTAGCATGCCCAGCGGGCACTGCTCACGCCATGGCCCCTTCCTACCCACAGGGCCGGCATGCACTTCTGCGGGGGATCCCTGGTGAAGGAGCAGTGGGTCATCAGTACACGGCAGTGCTTCTCCTCCTGGTAAGCTGACCTACCAGTGCCACAGGGCGCAGGGAGCCGTCCTCGCCCAGAATCCCTGAGGGCTGGGAGCACGGGAGTCCAGGGCGATGGGAGTCCAGTGAGTGCCGTAACATCCCTTTCCTGCAGCAACGCGGACCTGTCAGGCTATGAAGTCCAACTGGGAACTCTCTTCAAGGACCCTGGCCCTGAGGACCCCGACAAACAAGCTGTCCCCATCGTCCAGATCGTGTGCGGCCCCTCTGAGTCCCACCTGGTGCTGCTGAAGCTGGCGAGGTAAGCAGGGTGCCCGGGCAGGGAGACTGGGGGCAGAGGACGTCTGTCCCAGCCGCGGGGCACCGCCTGGCGCCATGGCCTGCTGCGTGTCTCTCTCACAGGCCGGCCGTGCTGAACAAGCGAGTGGCTCTGATCTGCTTGCCACCTGAGCGCTACGTTGTGCCCGCGCAGACCGTGTGCGAGATTGCTGGCTGGGGGGAAACCAGAGGTACCTGCAGTGGGAACCCCACCACCTTCCAGGCACCCCCTGCCTGCAGCCTCCCCCTGCCCATGGCATCCACTGCCTGTAGCATCCCCAAACTCACAACATCCCCCTGCCCACAGCATCCCCAAGCCTGTGACATCCCCTGCCCATGGCATCCACTGCTCGCAGCATCCCCAAGCCCATGGCATCCTCCTGCCCATGGTACTCCCTTTCCTGTGGCATCCTCCTGCCTGCAGCATCCCTCTGCCCATGGCATCCTCCACCCATGGTATCCACCTGCCCATAGCATCCCCTCTGCCCATGGTATCCCCCCTTCCTCAGCATCCTACTGCCCCTGGCATCCCCTGCCTCATGCCCTCCCTCCCCACAGGCACTGCAGATGGCTCCGTGCTCAACGTGGCCCAGCTGCCCGTGCTGGCCAACGCAGAGTGCAATGCGGTATTGCGCGGGCGTGTGAAGGAAAGCGAGCTGTGCACTGCCCCGCTGCGTGCCGGTGTGGGAGCCTGTGAGGTGAGCTGGGCCTGAGTCGAGGACAGAGAAATGGAGGCAAGCCAGGATGAGGCTAGTAGGATGAGGTCATCAGGCCATCTCAGGGAGCCTGTGGGTGCCACAGCCAGGGTAGCATGGAGTCATTTTGCTCTCTTGCTTCTGCAGGGAGATTACGGGGGGCCCCTGGCCTGCCTCACGCACGACTGCTGGGTGCTGGAGGGGGTGATCACCCCATCCCGTGTGTGTGCCCGGACCGACCAGCCTGCCCTCTTCATCCGCATCTCGCTCTATGTAGACTGGATCCACAAGGTCATGAAGATGATCTGAGCTGGACAAAGGGTGGCCAGATGGGCTGCCTGCTGTGCCCAGGGCAGCCAGCAGGTGGCACATCCCTGCTCACTATGCCCTGGAGGCGGCACATCTCTGCCCACCATTCCCAACTGGAATAAAGGGAGAGGTGTCCAGCCTGTGAGTGCATTCAGAGTGAGGCCCCATTGCCCTGGAGCGCAGGAGATGGGGACCTGGTGGCTCTCAGGACGGGTGAGGGCAGACAGGAGTCCAGCATCACCATGTGCCATCCACCGGGTGCCCCAGTGCCCAGGAGCGCTGGGTGGGCAGCCCTGCACAGGCTCTCACCCATTTATTTAGAGCTGAACCTAACCCACATCCCCATCCTGCCCCTCGGCTATGCCCACTGCATCCTCACCAGCTCCTGGCGCCATCCCCGTGGCCCACAGGGTCACCCTGGTGGCCAGCACAGCTGCGCCACTGCTGGCACTAAGGGCTGTGCTGGCTTGGGGTGTCCCGGCAGGGCTGCCCCAGGTGTTGGGCGATCCAGTGGGTGCAGTTCCCGAAGACGTCAGCCTCCGTCTCCACGCTGGCCAGCGCATGGTCTCCCTCCGGGTACCAGAGCAGGCTGCCGGCAGGAGGGAACAGGATCAGCCCTGGGCCCCTGCTGGTCTCCTGGC